CGTTACATACCATGAAAGAATTGTATTCAAAAAATTTATCTTGTATTTCCGATCATTGCAATATGAACAAAGGCCACACACACACACACAGAATCCCACAAGCTAGGAACTCTATGTGTAAACTAAATAAAAATGGAAAGAGAATCAATATGCATCAGGAAACTACCAAAATAATATATACGAAAATATATGGGTCAAAGTTTCTTTAACTTGTGGAAATATATGTAAATATATTCCTTCCTTAACACGACCATGATACATTAACATGTTTCTAACGTATGCTTTACGAGATAAGACAAAAAGAGATCAAGACCAAATATAATATGCCTTAGTTTTGTTATTATTTTAATTTTTTAATTTAATGATATTTATTTTGAATGTAATTTTTTTTATTTAATGAATTATTTTCATTTAAATTCAATTAATTAATAAAATTTTAATAATTTAATATTACAAAACATGTATTAAAAATGTAAAAAAAATAATGATTTGAAGGTTTGGAGCGTTAAAGAGAGGCTTAAAACTGATGTAATGGTGACGTAAGTTAAAGAAATGGTTAAAGCTGATGATGTGACAAAAAGACAGTTTGTAACCTCAATTTGAAGCTCGGATTTCAAACCCTAAATCCAGTGCTATTAAAGTCATGTCGATTAATTTAAAAGATTCCTAATTTCAATTTAATATAAATTTTCAAGAGTTGTGTCAATTAATAATGAACATAACTTTTCAAAATAAAGATTGTATCTATTTCAACTTTAATTTTACTTCAAAATAAAATCATATTTCACATTAAGGCCTTAAGGTGAAACACAATCCCAATTCCCAAAACCCTTAAGGCCTTAATCCTAGAGTTAGCATCTGTTTTAAACAGCCTTTATAATTGAGCAATGCTAGGGGTACACCAAAATGGTGTACCCCATTTGTCCCCCACTCCCTTCTCTACCATCTGTTTTTTTCTACTTTTTATTTATTTAATTTTTTTTAAAGTTCTTGCCCATTTATGTAGAAATAGAGGGAGTGTGGGACAAATAAGGTACACTTTTGGTATGGTGTACCCCTAGCATTTTTCATTTTAATTTGGTAGATTTCGACCTCTACTGGGATTGCTTTACAGAGCTTCTCTGGTAGTTGTGCTCATTCATAAACCTTAAACAATAGAATAGGGAGTATTTGACTAGAAATCGAAAGAGACGGGAATTAGCGGGGGAGAAGAATTAGCAGCGTCACAACCGGTGCCTCCCAGCCCCCCATGTCCTTGGCTGGTGTATTACCACGTGTTACCGGCGAGGAGATTTCGTAGGGAAGAAGGAAATCTTGTAGCTAATAACAAAAAGGAGAGAGAAAGAGAATTTGTTGGAAAGGGGATTAGGATGAAAAATATCTCTTCTTATTATTATTCCAGATGTTGAACCACTATTTATAGAGTTGCCCCACAAGGTTACACATAGGATAATAACATACTTAAACAAAAATAGAAATAGAAAATATAGCTAAGGCCTGCATCATTTCCTCCCCCTTGACTAGAGCTTTGTCCTCAAAGCTAGAAGTCTGGAAATCTCTGCTGGAAGGACTCGGACCACTCCCAAGTAGCTTCAGTTTCTGGTACTCCAAGCCATTTGACCAAGAACTGCACCCCAGCCCTATTTGCCTTTTTTTAATTCTCCTGGACAGAATGACCTCTGGTGTGGGGTAACTATGGTTATTAGTATTGTGGAACCAGTAGGGAATATGTGGTACAACTAGTATCTCTCCCCTGAATTGTTTGAGCTGGGAGACATGAAATACTGGATGCAAAGTATTTAGGCCACCTTGCCTACTTTGGACAAGATTTGGAAGGGTCCAAAGTATTTAGGACTCAGCTTCTCGTTAGATCTCAGTTGAACACTGCTTTGCCTGTAGGGCTGGAGCTTCAACCATACCCAATCTCCTAGGTTGAAAACCCTCTCAGACATGTGCTTATTGGCTAACTGTTGCATCCTGTTCTGTGCCCTCTATAGTTGGTGTTGTAGTTGCTTGATCATGGCTTCCCTCTTCTGTAAAGATCTGTCCACTGCTTCCATAACTGTTTCTCCAGGTAAATAGGACAGATGGATAGGTGGGGGCTGACAGTACACAGCTTCATAAGGAGTCATCTGTATCGAAGAGTGAAAGGTAGTGTTGTACCACCATTCAGCTAGAGGAATCCACTTGCACCATTCTCTTGGATTGTGGGAGCACATACACCTTAGATAAGTTTCCAAGCATCTGTTGACCACTTCAGTTTGCCCATCTGTTTGGGGATGACAGGCAGTAGACATCAAAAAATCAACTCCATGGATGGTGAATAAAGCCTGCCAGAATTGGCTCAAAAAGACAGTATCTCTGTCACTCACTTTGGTGTTTGGCATTCCATGTAGCTTGAACACATTGTCCAAATAACTTTGAGCAACTTCCAATGCAGTATAGGGGTGAGATAAGACCATAAAATGGGCATACTTACTCATCCTGTCCACCACGACAAAGATAACATCCTTGCCCATGGACTTTGGTAATCCTTCAATAAAATCCATGGACACATCTTTCCATACTTCTGTGGGAATTTGCAGAGGCTGCAATAATCCTGGGTATGCTGAGTTATCATACTTACACGCTTGGCAAGTTAGACACCTTCTCACAAATTGCGAGACATCTTTATTCATTCCCTTCCAGTAAAACATGGCTTTAAGCCTCTTCAGGGTGGCTTCTCTTCCTGAATGACCTGCTACAGGTGAGGAATGGCTCCATTTCAGTAGTTTGTCCCTGAGAGTATCACTAGGACCTACCACCAACTTTCCTTTTCGCCTCAACAGGTCCCCCACCAATGAATAGTGTTCCACAAATTGATTTTGTTGCAAGGATTGAAGACAGCTCATAATTATGGGATCAAGTGCCCAACTGTTTTTAATGTCCTGTAATAGTGTAGTGTCAATGGAAGATAGTGCCAAACATAAAATTTACGCCCCTGATTGCCTGGAAAGAGCGTCAGCAGCTAGGTTCTCCTTTCCCTTTTTATATTAGATGTCATAGCTATAGCCCATGAGTTTAGATAACCAGAACTGTTGAAACGGAGTGGAGATTTTACTTTCTAATAGCCACTTAAGACTTTTCTGGTCAGTCTTAATAGTGAAAGGCTGGTGAATTAGGTACTGTTCCCATTTTTGTACAGCAAACACCAAGGCTAACAACTCCTTTTCATAGACTGATAGTGCCTGCCACCTGGGTCCCAATGATCTGTTAATATAGGCTATGGGATGTTGATTCTGCATCAAGACAACCCTAATTCCCTCTTGTGATGCATCAGTTTCTACAACAAAAGGGCTTGAAAAGTCAGGTAGAGCCAATATAGGGGCACAACAGAGTGCTTCCTTCAATCTCTTGAATGACCTGCCTGCTTCGTCAGACCACTGGAAAGCTCCTTTCTTCAATAATTCTGTGAGAGGTTTGCTGATACTTGCATAGTTTTTGACAAATTTCCTATAATATCCTGCGAGTCCTATGAAGCTCCTCAACTCCTTGACATTGTTAGGGACCTTCCAATTTTTGACAGTTGTTACTTTGTTGGGATCAGTAGACACTCCTTGGGCAGATATATAGTGTCCCAAATATTCCACTTTCAGCACTCTAAAAGCACACTTACTCCTTTTTGCCAATAATTGATTTTGCCTTATAGTGTTGAACACTTCCCTGAGATGGATGTAGTGAAGTTCCCAAGTTGGACTATAAATGAGTATGTCATCAAAGAACACCAATACAAACTTCCTGAGTTGGTTCTTGAACATAGCATTCATCAGGCCTTGGAAAGTAGCAGGAGCATTAGTAAGACCAAACGGCATTACTAAGAACTCATAATGGCCATGGTGAGTTCTAAATGCTGTTTTATAAACATCCTTCTCTAACACCCTTATTTGGTGATAACTAGCTCTCAAATCAATCTTGCTGAACACTGTTGCCCCTGCTAACTCATCAATCAATTCTTCCAAAATTGGAATAGGGAATTTATGCTTCACAGTTTGTTTGTTTAATTCCCTATAGTCTACGCAGAGTCTCCAACTACCATCCTTCTTCCCAACCAACACTACCGGTGAGGCCTAAGGGCTGCCACTATCTTGGACTATGCCACTTTGCTTCATTTCCTCCACAATCTGTTCAATTATATCCTTTTGTATGACACGGTATCTGTAAGGTCTGATGTTCACAGGATTAGTGTTTGGTTGCAATGGTATTGCATGATCAAATATCCCTCTGGGTGGGGGTAACCCTTTAGGTTCCTGGAACAAGTCATGGTATTCTTCCAATAACTCCTGAAGTTGCTTAGGAGTTTCCAATGCTATTTCAGATTGATCATGCTTGACCTCCTCACTTATTGTGGCCTTGATCTGTAACAGATAGAGTTGGCTAGATGCATTTAAAAGCTTGACTAAGTTGTTAGCCTTTACTTCTACCACTTGTTGTTTAATTCCTCTTAGAAGATGCCTACTACCATTGAACACATATTCCATTTCCAATTTGCTGAAATCCCACTTGACTGGTCCCAAGGTGCTTAACCACTGTACCCCCAAGACTACATCACATCCTCCCAACGGAATGAGAAGCATGTCAGATTGGAAAAGGCTTATGTGCAGTTTCCATTCAAACCCCTTGCACATGAATTCACACTTGAGTTGGTTGCCATCAGCTACTATCACAGATTTGGCCATTGTGGCTTCCAATATGCACCCCAGCTTTTTGGCTAGGTTTATGTCCAGAAAATTATGTGTACTGCTAGAATCAATGAGGATGTGCAATGGCTTTTGCCCATAATGTCCAGTCACCCTCATGGTTTGGAATCCTTGATTGCCACTTATGGCACTTACTGAAATCAGAGGTCTCTCTTCTTCCATTTGAGGTTCTGGGTCCCATAGCTCAATCCCTTCTCCCCCTTCAGCAACAGTATCCACTTCTACTAAGAATAGTTATGTGCCTCTGCCTGTTCTGTCCTGTACTTTTATGGCCTGCACAGTTTCCTCTTGACACCTTGCATACTCAATTGCTTCCGCCAGTGATTCAGGTTTAAAGGCCCTCACATAAGCCTTGAGATGGGGTTTGGGGCATCTAATGAAACTGTCCAACATGTCTTCAGGGGGAAGGAGGGGATTCTTCATCAACATACAAGACTTTAATTCCTCAAACTTATCCACATACTCCTCTAAGTTTCCCCCTGCTGCAGTTTATTGAATTCTTCAACCAATTTTGAACCCAACTTGTCTTTAAATCTGGCGCACAAGTCTACAACAAAATCCTCCCACATGATGTTGTTCCTCCCCATAGTATAACTACTATACCACATCTCAGCCTTCCTAGTCATATACAGAGAGGCTAGATCAACTTTTTTCTCCTCAGGAATTCGGCACAACATGAAATACTTCACACATTTTTTTATCCAATTTCGAACATTTGATCCATCAAATTGAGGAAACTCTACCTTGGGATTGAAATGTAATTGCCTCGGATTGTCTGATTCTGATCTCCTCTCCTGATTCCGGTTGCTTCCAGGTGTAGAAGTTGATTCCCCCTGGGCGATAGACTTGATCTGCTCCATTATTTGTCCAAACATCGCCTGTTGATCCTCGATCTTGTGATTTTGTTGTTCCATCTGGATTGCGAACACCTTTTGCTGATCCACCAAAGCTTTCAAGGCCTCCTCTATTATTGCCATCTGTGCTGCTTTGCGTCTCGTAATCGCCAGCTCTCAGCCGGAAAGAACCGCTCTGATACCAATGTTACCGGCGAGGAGATTTCGTAGGGAAGAAGGAAATCTCGTAGCTAATAACAGAAAGGAGAGAGAAAGAGAATTTGTTGGAAAGGGGATTAGGATGAAAAATATCTCTTCTTATTATTATTCCAGATGTTGAACCACTATTTATAGAGTTGCCCCACAAGGTTACACATAGGATAATAACATACTTAAACAAAAATAGAAATAGAAAATATAGATAAGGCCTGCATCACCACGACAAAGATTACAAAAAGCAGTCTTTCTGCTCCGACGTAGCATGACCATCGCTGGTCAACACATACACCAGAAGCTTTCCCATTTTGCGCCACAGAAAGGTTCTTTCTGTGCCCACGGCTGTTTAGTTTTGTACTATTATAACTCCAGATCGCTGTCTCTATGCAACTCAACCACATTCAGCGATACCCTAATCCTCCCTAATTTGCATCACTTATCAAATCACAGGATCGACAGTTGCGTCCTACTACCTCCCAGCGGTATTTGGCATAATTTCACAGTCTTAATATTCCTGGAAAAGCTACCCTCCATAATGTTTTGTCGTGTTGAAGAAAAAATGTGGAGGGAGATAAGCTATGGGAAGTATTTGGAACCTCTTTTGCCTGAGAGTTTAGATAGCTAGAGAATCGGGAAGGCCCCTGCTTTTCAAACGGGCTGTAGGCTTCGGTGGTAAAATATATGCCCAGCTCGGTGCTGAATGGATTGGTGGCTTCTTCTATTCGCTGATGTCAATTGAGATAGTTGAAGAAGAAGAAGAAGAAGAAGAGAGAGAGAGCACAGAACTTGGGCTCCTTTTGTGTAAATTGAATTTGCCTGCTGACATGAGTCGCTGCTTCCCTTCATTCACCAATGCCTATATTTTATATATTTTCTATAAAACATATTTTATATTTTACATATATAGCTCAGAATTTGGGCTCCTTTTTTCTATATTTTACATCTATAGCTCAAGTGTTTGAGGTGTACCGAATGGATTTTAGTACGATGGCGTGGGAGAGAATGAATAGCGTCAAGGACACAACATTTTTCATGGGGGAGAGCTACTGTTTGTCTTGTCCAGCTTCAGGTTCCGGCCTTATATATTTTACAAGGGCAAAGGATGATGGTTTATACTGTTATAGCATGGAAGATGGCAGTATTTTGATGTCTTTGCCCCGTCCTAATTTGCCCACCCCCTGGCTTTCGCCTCCCATTTGGATAATGCCCCAACTCGTCATCCCCATCAAGTGAGAGAACACCTCAATTCATTCGTTTATATTTTGAACCCTTTCCCGTTTCATATGGCCTATCAATTCTTTTCCATTTATATTTTTTCTAGTTAAAATTGCAATGATGATGTTTGGCTAATTTTTTCTTTCTAGATTTATATTACTTCTACAACTTTTCTTTATCGAGACAAATCTAACAAGATCTCACACATGACTACATTTTTTTCTTGGTGAAGTGACAGTGTGTGATTAATGAAAAAGTCTAGACCCATTGCATCTATTTTAGTACAGAAGAAGTATAAACTTGTATTTATTCAAACTTATGGCATTTTCTTCAGGGAAGAAAAGGAGCACAACAAGCAAGATTGCAACATCAACAATCAGAAAAGAAGCAACATCACCACATCGAAATTGGAGTTGAATGATAATATAGATGCCCACGTGCAATTGTGCGACCTTCCTTATGATTTGTTGGAACATGTTTCTAAGCATCTCAAAGCAACTCATTACATGAATTATCGATTCGCAAGTAAGATATGCCAATCAGTTTGCCCTCTAGTAAATTGGAGAATAGCTCTTACCGAAGCTGAAAAATCCCATTGTTTCCCTTCTCCATTGCTCATGTTTCCCGACAGACACGAGAGTGTATACAAATTTGTGGATCCAAGTATAAATTGCAATAATAATAACTCCTACTTGATGAGGATTCCAGATTCTCTTGGAAGTCATATGATTCACCATTCTGATAAGGGGTGGCTTTTATTGTCTAAAAGAGGCTCTTGTGTAGATCTTTATAATCCATTCAAGCGAGACATCATCACTTACAATTTCAGATGTATAGGAAAGGAAGAGTGTTGGTTTTTCAAGGGAAAGACACTGGGACCCACACATCCAATTAGTGTTATTTTTCGTGATGGAACCCGTGTTTTTGTATCAATCGGGATCAATCTTGATGAAAAATGGACTTGGGACGAATTGACGAGCAAAAAGAAGTTTGAGCCTGCGATTCATACTAGTCTGGTCTTGTTTAGAGATGCTTTCTTTTACTTGGATAAGACGGGGAAGCTCAGAAAACTTGAAATAGATGTGCAAGTAGGAAACCTAAGGTGGGAAGTTCTTGAGAAGCCACAAAGACCAGCCGACCTCAAGTTTTTTGAGCACAACTTCTTGGTCGAGTGTGGTGGGAAATTGATTTCAATATTTCTTGGCCGTGCGGGAAAATGGGTTTCTATTTACAAGCTTAATAGTGATTATCACACGTGGGAAAAGATGCGGAATTTAGGAGGCTACGACTTATATCTCAACCCAACTTCATCCATTGCCATGCCTTCTTCAAGTGGTGGAAACAGAATTTATTTCCCTTTGCTCCGTGGTTCTGATATTGTTTACTTCTCCCTGGAGACGGGCAAATGGCATTTCTCTGGAAGCCAACAAGATTCATCATCCCATCTTTACGGTATAAAATGGTACCCCAACTCTTGTTGGATTACGCCTTGTTGGTAATTTTACATCCACTACACCATCCTAAAGCCATCATGATTCTCCGTCACCTTGAAAGTTCAAATGCAATGATGCACCTACTTTAAGTATATGTGCTTCAATCATATACTCCCTAGTACATAGGCTTGTTTGGGAACAATGTTTTAGACTAGCGTTAATGTTTTGAATAGTTTTTTACTGGTGCATATTAACTTTGGAAATACTAAAGTTAAACACTACCGTTAGATAGTCTTTTCTAAATGTTAAAGCTAAACGGCGAAGTTGTTGCCAAATGGATCCATAGTGTCCGGTTAGTATTTTATGATATAACGCCTTTTCTTTTGTTGAATTGCTACAGTTTGACATTGGCGGTTTGCCTAAAATATACGAGCATCGTTGTTTTTTTCAATCTGATCCTCTCTTCTGTTTCATCTGTTTATATCGTATAGTCATAGAATTTGCTCCCTAGGCCGTGACTTCCGTACTGGTATGAGACATACCCACTCGCAATTCGATTGCGATCCAATCGTAGCCGGTACCGCGTACCCATGGTAGTCAAAATCACAATCTGATCTGTACGCTTCTGCAGATCAACCTAGGGTTACCAATTCAAATCGTGTGCTAGATCGGAAATCCTTCTGTCGATTGCCGAGCAAGATCGTACTACTATCGCCTGGTATCGGCAATTCAATGGGAACGGAAGTCACATGTCGGAAAAGCAATTCGCGCTACCCTTTGGTTGCCTCGACTCCTCCCTAACGATGCTTGTTTCCACTGCGTTTTATGTAAATAAGCCTCTGCGCTGATTTAATCTGATTCTTTGGGTTTCAAGTTTCAGTTTAGCATGTGGAGTCACACCATGTATTCTGTCTTATTCTGCGCAGCTCTTAAGTTTTTTTGTTGTTTTATTTCTTGAGCCCTTTATCTACTAACCTTTTTTTATTGTTATCTATTGATATTAAGAAATTTTGTTTACTAAAGTTTTGACTTTTGTTACACCAAACCGAATACTTGGTACACCGTTCCGCTTCGTACCAAAATGAACTTACCCACTTCGTACCGAATTCGTCACCTCTAGCAAATTTCGTACCCGTACCACGTACCCATACCGGAATGTATCGCGATTTAGGTGACTATGTCACTACTATATATTCAAGTAATATTGCACTAATGGATTATTAGTGTTATCCCATTCTCACATATGTAAATTAGGGAGGAAAAATATATTGATGCTACCTGGCAATGGACTACTTTTTGTCTTTGTTGTTGGCTCTCCTTTTGCACTTTGATTGACTAAAATCCAGTCCCTGGCTAAATACCTTTTTAAACTCTTCAATAGACTAATAAGTCTATTTGGAATACAAGCACAGGATACATAACTTTGTAAAATTAAAACTGGAGAAGCCTTGTACCTAAATTTTAAAATATTACTATTGTTATTTTCAATTCCGTGTTTTGTTTTGTATTTAGAAGAGTAGTATTTAGTTGTCTACAGAGACTGAGAAGTATAGCCATGAAAGCAGATTTTAAAAAGATTTCTGGATACGCAAGTACTCTGTAAGTGATATTGTAAAACTGTGAAACTCCAAAGTTTCCATTGCAATGTGTATTGCGATAGATTTTTCAAAGACTGATGGTTCAAGGGCTTTCTGGGACTAAACTTTGCAATGGGACATATCATGTCATATGCAAAGTAATGAAGGACCAAGGTGTGCAGGAATGTAGAGAAGTTTTTTTTATCAACGACTACCAGTCCCCTGCTTCCCCACTGTGATTAGGGGGTTATGCTGCTTCACAACATCTCAACTGGAGGTACGTCAGTACGTGCATGGTCACTGTATTCTTTGATCAAGTACTACACTATTCTACGAGATATATTATTTAACAGTGACGACTCGACCACAAAAATTTAATGGTAATAGAGTATATAGTAGAGCTTCTTTTTTTCCTTTCCATCATCTCCGATGGAGCTAAAGATTCATTATTTTTTGGCTTTGGGGTATGATGGAATAAATCAAGATGACTTTTTAAACTTTTCTCGCTTCTTTTATGGTGAACTAACAGTTAGTCAATACAACTTTCGACGCTCATCATGGGTCATCTGAAACATAAACATAACATAGGGGTCAGGTTGTAGATCCCCCTTACCCTGCAGGCGGGAGCCTTTGTGGCACTAGGGTAATGTTGTTGTAGAGTAAAGCTTTTATCCCCTTAAATTCAATTTATTTGGAGAACTTCAAGGTATACAACATTTTTGGTAAAGTTGCAAATGATACCACTAACAACAACCCAGTTGAATCTCCATGAGAGTAGGGTGTGGGCCGTGTGTACGAGACCTTACCCCTACTTGTTAGTAGGGAAACTGTTTTCAAGAGACCCCCAGCTCAAAAGTAATGATTCCACTATCATCTAAAATTCATACTTCTAATCTTAACTTTGATTTCACTTACGAAACAATCATATATTTCTCCTCTCCTCGAAAGGATCTAAATGCATTTAGGTATTTTTCTATGGAATCTGTCTCCAAGCTCAGAAATCAGCATGCAACTTATAACTTTGTGACACTTTAGTCAAGCAACGAAGATGCATTTGACACAAAGAATTGAGAATCTAGATGGGGAACTGGATGACCACTGACAGATTGAGATGTCAAAACAAACTATAAATGAGGTAAATTCACCAACAAATTCTTGTTTTTTAAATTCTAAATTCTCACAGGAATGACTCAACCTCATCTTTGTGTTCGATTGTGGAGCAGGTTAGCAATGCACGTGGTGTTATTTCTAAAATCGATAATGACATTGATACAATACACATGATGTTGTCTCACCTGGTCAATATATATTTTGTTTTGTTTTATTAGTATCATGTAAAACTCCTCAAGTCTACCAGGTGAACTAATTTTTTAAAATTCTATGAAACAAATTACAATAACAAGTATTAAAGATATGTTTAGAACATAAAAAATTAAGTTAACCTTTTCAATATACTGGAAATTTGAAAAACAAAAGAGTTGAGGGAAAAAATCTTAAGTTTTATAGTATATTTTTTCAAACTTCGTTTTTAATCCATTTGGCCCATATTAGTCCTTTTCATCTTTAGGTTAATAAAAATATGTGGTTTATATTCTTTTATTCCCTTCATAATTCTCAACAATTTTTTTTCTTGAACTTCATGACTAGTCAAAAACCCATTACATGAAATCTGAAGGGAGAGAGTATTTTCTTATTTGTATTACATAATGAACAAAAAATCTAAACACATGCCAACTTTTTAAAACATTAATTATTTCTCATTACCATTGGCATTTGCCAAGGTAATAGATCCAAAATAGAGAAAAAATATTAGTGATTTCCAAGCATTGTCCAATACCCAAACACTTGGTGATTTTATGCAATCCTTATTTTACGCTTGGAGTTGTTTGGTCAACTATTAATGGTGGTATTTTGATGTGTATACCTAACCATCCCATTTACAAATTATTGTGGCAATATGAGCTTGCAAATGTAGGTGTTATGTTTATAAGGTAAGGTGAATGAATGTTGAGTGAAAATGGACAAAAAGAATCCAGGTGTGTATAAATGAATTAAAACTACGCATTTTCTATAGCTCTCTCTCTCCACATAGTGTTGCTACATGCTCTTACATTACAATTTGCTGCTGCAAGTCAATGTGTTGTGCCTCTGTTTGCAAAAGCATCTCGGAGTTGGTGGTAAGTTAGCATGAGCCATCATATTAAGTTTTCTAGTCAAACTATTGTTCACGATGTGAAATGTGATAGTGATATTAAAAGCTAGTGTGGATGTTGCTTGTGTTGTAATAATATAGAAACTTATGGAACCTGGGTTTGTTATTTTTGTTTTAGAAGAAGAAGAAGAATATGTGGTTCAGAACATTTCTCTCTTCTAAACATGTTCTACGCTCACACTTTTCAACACTTTTTTTTTCTTTTTCAAACATAGCACTGTAGGGGCCTATGATATGTTGTATGCAGTCGGTGTGAAAAGCAGCAGGGGTGACTATATGCTGCGAGGATGGTTGCTCGATCTGGTGAAGCTAAGGATGATGGCTTGGGCTGGATCTACAGGTAAGGCAGCGATGTTTATGTGGATGTGTGCAGGGGTTGAATGAGGGGTTGAGGATTGGAGGTATGGCGGCCATGGAGAAGACAAAGGAAATATAGTGATTGGGGAAGGGGATTCTCACGGTGAGAGGGATAAATCGAGGAAAAAGAAAGCCCACAGAGGATTGAGGGTTGAAGTGCCGAGAGGAAAGCTATCGAAAACACACTGCATTAAATTAATGCCCAAGTGGTGCGTGCAACCTTAGCTTGTTCAAGGATTTGACGAAGTAACAACCAAAGGTGATATAATATGATTGATAATCTAAAAAGCTGACAAAAAATATTCTTTACTAATTTTATATTTTTTTCACTTCATCATATTACGGCTTTCAATTAATAAATAAGATACTCTATTCACCTTTAAATAAATTTTATAGTATTTTTTATGACATGCATAAATAAACGTTAGCTCATACTCCGTATATTGTTTGTTAACATCAAAACACGAGATAAACCAAGGCTAAGATATGATACTGTTTCTTGAGAACACATTTGCCTAAAATGACATAACAATAGTTACCATTGAATGATACATTATTTAACTGTAAAAAATCAAACTATGGGAGACATGTATTATTATAATTGTTTTTGAAGCAGTTTATTATTGTTATAACTTATATCTATCCTCAGCAGTCACTCATTCCTGTAAGTGTTATCATCAACGTTTTACTATTTTTCGATGGACGATATACACATTGTAATTAGCATTTTATTCCACAAGTTTCATCTGTGTGCATTTACAGATCATGAATAGAACTACCAGGTCCTGCTATCTTGGGCAAATGAGAAGCTGATGAGAATCAAAACCATGCCATTATATTTACACGTGGAGTGGGTTTAAAAACAATAGGTATGAATCAGGTGTTTTAGTGCTACTCTGGTATCATCATATCACACTAGATTTTAAATTCATTGTCTACCTTTTTTTACCTTAACATGTATTTCAAGGATAACTATACGGAAGAGGCAATGAAAATGAGAAACTTACGTCAATTTTTTATTGTCAGATAAATATTGCAACAATTTCCTGTATCTTTCATCTGGGTCTATTATATGTCCTTTGTTATCTTATGCAGTGTTTCGTCTCTAAGGCATGTTATCGTAATAGTTTGTGAAGTTTTCTTGTTGTCATGGCATATTCTGATATCAGGTCTTATTGACGTAAGCTCACTAAGACACTCTCATGTTCTTTACTTTACAGGGAAATGAAGCTGCTTTTAATGCCTAAAAATTCATGGAATACTTGACAATATTCCTTTGGGATTCAATGGCCCATGTTCCTTCTAGCAAGCAAAGGTTGCTCTGCACCAGAAACTATACTACTTGTTTTGTTACTGTATGCTAATTAAGTATGCACATACTGTTATTTCTCATCCCTGGCATCTATTGTTAATTAAGTATGCACAGTTGCACATACTGCTATTGGTTCAACGGGCTAACCTAGTGTCCTAGCCAATGGAGCTTGAACATTTTGTTTATACAGTGGTTTAGTTTTGCATAATAAAAAAATGGACGAAATTGCACTTCACTTGCTTCTCCCATCATAACTTTCGCGTGGTAATTTATCAATGCATCATGTCTCATGGAAACTTCTTAATTTTTGACAAGAATAAGGTTGTGCTAGACCTGGCAAAATGGACCTAGAATCGATTACCCGAACCGAATAATCCGAAACCGAAATCGAAATGATTCGAAAAATGAAGATCCAATTTATAACCTAATAACCAAAATGATCCGAATTGAATCAGAATTGAACTAAATATATCCAAACTAGATTTCAATTTGAAACCCATTTGATCTGAAACTGATTAGGATCCGAAACTAATTACATCCGATATCGATAAGACCCGAAATGGGTAATATCAAAAATTGATAAGACCTGAAATCGATTATTTCAAAAACTAATTCTGACAATAAATATATTATATTTATATACATTTGTGAATAGTTACATTAATGTGATTTCAAATTTTTACTTTTATTTTGAACTAGTTATATATTTATATTACTTACTCTCTATGTTCATAATGAATTACCATATCTGAACAAAATCTAAAATTTTATAGTTTTTAAATTTCTTTTTTATAAATTGGTATAGAAATAAACAATAAAACTTACATAAAAAATGTAATTTAAAATTTATACAAATTAGGGCACGGTTAAAAATATTTTTTCACCCCGTCTCATGCAATATTGTGTGGTTGGCCAAATGTTTGCTTTGAATAGCATTTACTTCTAATTGCATTCAATTTAGCTCAATTTCAACATATTTTTACCAAATTATATGTAATTTGATATTCAATCATATTAATTTTATATCAGAACTAAATATACTTTTCTTTCATAATTCGTAATCTAAATTTATAAAAAAGATAAAAATAGATGATATTTAGGACGAAGGGAGTATATAATATAAGGTGATGATAGAATGATAAATGCGACATGACAAAAAATGAACGGGTAATTAAATTTTAATTCAAAAATAAAATATAAGCAAATATATCCAAAACCAAAATATACGCGTATCGAAATATATCTGAATTGAAATATATCCGAACTGGAATGTATCTAAAACTTGAAATCGATCAGAACCGATTGATATCTTAATCGAATTTTAACCGGCCTAGAAGTGAAGCGAAACCAAAAATGTAAAGAACCAAATTAAATTCAAACAAAATTAAAGCGATCTGAACCAAACTAATTTAACATATATCCAGAAGATATCCGAACCAAATTAATCCAAACTGGAAATGATCTAATTAATGCAATTGCCACCTCTAGGTTGTGTGTATCTTGACATTAGACTCCCTCTCCTACAGAATTGAATTTGTTGTACATTTATTGGCTAATTCGATATGCATTAATAATATAATATAAAAATGATGTTCATTTAAAATCATCATATCTTCCTAGACCCAACTCTCTTGGATGTAAGATTTTAATTTTAATGAGTTCATACTAAAACGATCATAACGCCTGTCCTTCAGATTAAATGAGAGGGAGTAATTTGTTCATAAGAAAATGAGTAGTAATGCCCAAATATGATGAATGCCTTCTTAAAAAAAGTAGAAGAATCATCCTCAAGTTAATACGTCTCATTGTCCGTGTCAAAAGCTCAAATATCCTTTTGCAAAAATAGGATAGAGACATTCCTATGCTAATATTTCAAGCGAAAGTATATCATTTCTTCAAGATCATATTTTATTCACTTTGTACGCCTATATTTGTTGATAATACGATAAAATAATATAGTCATATCATATCTAGTTTTGTATATCTTTTGATGTAATTTTTAAATATATAATTTTTTAAACTTCACACTAATTTTCATATTAAAAATTTGAAAATAACTCCAGTAAAAATCGTAATGCGTAATGGACATTATAAACATTTTTTTTAAAGATTTCGCGCCATTTTCCTATATATTCATTTAAAACTATTTAGAAATTAAATTATTTATAAACTTTTAAATATTTGAAGCTGAATATATGTATAATATAATTTAGAAATTAAACAATTTAATTTTTTTTATTATGAATCAAAAGTAAAAAATGATTGACTTTATAAAGTTAAGATTGAAGTTTATCATCGGGTCTACCACTTCACATCCCGCTTGGCCTCTAGGCTCCTCCGCTCTGCCACCACCTCTAGTACCGCCGCCGCCGCAGCCACCAGGTTTTCGAGATCTCTTCTTTTAGTCTCTCTTCTCCAATCCCATTCCCATCCATCCCATTCCCATGGAACCCTATTTTTCCGATCCTTATCCACCCTAAGCCGTCCGAGCCGTCCCCATCGCTCAGCCTGGCCAGATATCGGTGCTCGGGCCAGGCAGATGCAGACGCGTCGTATCTGGACTTACGCCCTATCCTTCAGCTGCGTTGTTGGATTTATCATCATCGTTCTCAACCAGTTCTAAGACCAGCTCGTTTTCTACGTGACCCCGACGGATGCGTTAGCAAAGTACACCGCGAACCCCACCAGGTCAAAGTTCAGGCTCGGCGGGATGGTATTGGAGGGCAGTGTGGGGCAGATTCCTTCGTCTCTAGAGATGGAGTTCGTGGTGACCGACTTAATCACTGACATTTTGGTGAGATACGAGGGATCTCTGCCAGATCTTTTCCGGGAGGGTCATTCTGTTGTTGTAGAGGGGTTTATAAGAGGATGTTGAGAGAGAACAAGTCCATGATCATAGAGAAGGCGAGAAGTGTAAACTGTTATTTTGAGGCTTCAGAAGTGCTGGCTAAGCACAATGAGAAGTATATGCCGCAAGAAGTTGCTGCTGCCTTGGAGAAGAATAAGAAGATGCTGGAGCAGCAACGGAATGAGGAATGCGGGAGCGAAGCTATACCCAATGTGGAAAGGGAGAGCAAAACTATACCCAAAGTGGAAAGCCGGAGCGAAACTATACCCAAAGCGTAAAGGGATTAATCATGCCCTCAGTCACAGGTCTGATATTTTTCTTTACAACTGAACTCTTTAGCACTTCATTGGACATGTATGTTTATGCTTGATTACAGAGTGCTGTTCTTTGACATCACAGTTAGGGAGATCAAAGAAGAGATATCGGCAAATTTTATAAGACAGGAGTTTATTTTGGTGTTGTTCCAGGTGTGTGTTTGTTCTAAAGCAAGTACAACCTATTGTATTGCCCCTGTAAGATGGTGTGGGCTACAAAATACGTACTGATTTTGGCCAAGTTGCTAATAAACGAATTACGGTTCTAAGGATTGATTGTTGTTCTCGTGTACTTGACTATATATGCATTACTGACTATTTCTTTTACTAAACATTTGAAGAAAAATACTCTCCTGTTCCACATTAAACATCACACAATCTAAATGGGAAGGTTGTTCATGTTCACCACGTGATATTCATAGTTTTGTTTTGGGACGGATGTTGTGTTATTTAATTTTATTAGTGTTGTAGTCTACAATTTATTAGGAAATGATCAGTTATTCGTTGTGAGTACTTGTGAGTGGTCTCTGATACTTCTAGATTGAGTTTTGAAGACAGTTGGTGAAATTTTCAAGGCACAGGCTGCTGTAAGGGTGTGTCGAAGTGGTAAAATCCCGATCTATTAACCAAAATGTTCATGAAAATATGCCTCTTCCCTGATTCTCCATTTTTCTTGTCCTTAGAATTTGCAGGAAAAGGCTGGAGGATGAAAGTGCTTCACTCTTTATGTGGCAGGCTTTTTACTTATTCATTTTAAGTGATCAAGGAAGAATATACACATGTTCTAAAATAAACTTTACACTTTCTTTTTTTGTCGTTCTCACAATAAACTTTACATTTCTCCATTTTCTTTTAAATAATTGAACATGTGGCTCAAATGTTTTCTCTTTCTTCTAAACAAATTTTAAATCACACACTTTTTACTTTTTAACACTTTTCTTAAACTCATGAAGTCATATAATGAAGTTTATATAGGAACCGAGGGGGGGGTATAGGATAAGAGAGAAGCATGAATAGGTAGGGCGTAGGGGATATATGCAAATAGAGCATATGGCAAGAGGATAGAATGTGAGGGATAGAGCTTGCATGTTGATTATACTGTTCTTTCAATGTTGATTATAAACTTTAAGATGATTTTTAATCTCTTTAATGGTTGCCTCCTCCGTGTAAAATTTCTGGTGTAGTCTCCCATTTCTCATCCTCCAAATGAAATAGCAGCTGGCTGCCCATCCAACAAATGCTATCCATCTCTTCTTTCTAGGTTTTGTTAGACACGATTTTATTATGTGGCCTGAGTTATCATTTATCTAATTAATTGATCATTGACCTAATAAATACCCTACGTATTTATTTGGTAATTATTCGATGGACGTAATTGCCCTTATGACCTAATTAGGGTTTCCCCTTGGGTGTATATATAGAGGTCATTAGGCAGAGATCAGAACACACCAATCTTACGCCTCTTCTCTGCCTCTCTATTCTCGTGAGTCTTCCTCACCTTAGCCATCATAACGATACACCCTAAACGGGAACTCGATCTGCGTGAGAATCATGGCCTCATCCCTAACCACGTTTACAGGATTATCAGGTACACATGATTAAATCCCTAATTTATATTTTATGTTTAAGAATTGATCAACATGCAGTATCGGAGCACTTAGTCTGTAAGCTGAAGAAGTCCATATATGGGTTGAAGCAGGCATCACATCAATGGTACCTAAAGTTGCATCAAGTCTTGAAGTCAGAAGGTTTCATAAAGAATCAAGTGGATCAATGCACCTACCTCAAGATGAGTGGGAGCAACTTTACTATACTTGTCCTTTACGTAGATGACATTCTATTGGCAAGTAATAGTTTAGACATGTTGCATGAGTCCAAGCGCTTACTCTCGCGTAACTTTGACATGAAAGATCTCGGAGAGGCTTCTTATGTTATTGGCATCGAAATACACCGAGATAGAGTCAATGGTATTTTGGGATTATCTCAAAAAGCTTACATTGAGCGTGTCCTTACACGCTATAACATGCAACATTGCTCTCCTTCTGTGGCTCCAGTAGTTAAGGGAGATGTTTTCGGTTTATTTCAATGTCCGAAAATAGAGGTTGAAAAGGAACAGATGAGAATGATACCTTATGCGTCAGTAGTAGGAAGCCTTATGTATGCACAAGTCTATACTCGTCCAGATATCGCTTACATTGCTAGAATGTTGGGTCGTTATCAGACTAATCCTGGTCTTGATCACTAGAAAGCAGCTAAGAAAGTTCTTCGATATCTACAAGGGACAAAAGACTATAAACTGACTTACAGAAGGAGTGATAATTTAGAAGTGGTTGGTTATTCTGATTCTGATTTTGCTAAGTGCAAAGATGACAAGAAATCCACTTCAGGGTATATCTTTATGTTAGCTGGCGGACCTATCTCGTGGAAGAGTC